AGTGAGCCGCAGCGCCGGCCCTGGGTTCTACTTTATAAAGGGCTTCTTGGGCTGGTGCCATGGCTCACTTGGTTAATCCTCCGCCTGCAGTGCCCAGCATCCCATATGGGAGCCGGGTTCTAGTTCCGGCTGCTCCTCTTCCAGTCCAGCTCTCTGCTGTGGCCCGGGAGGGCAGTGGAGGATGGCCCAAATGCTTGGGCCCCTGCACCTGCACGGGAGACCAGGAAGAAGCACCTGGCTCCTGGCTTCGGATCAGTGCAGCGCGCCAGCCGTAGTGGCCATTTGGGGAGTGAACCAACGGAAGGAAGACCTTTCTCTCTGTCTCTCTCTCTCACTGTCTTTAACTCTACTTGTCAAATAAATAAATAAATAAATATAAATAAATAAATAAATAAAAGGCTTCTTGTAGCTACACCAGTGAGAGTGGCCTTGAAGAAAAGGATCCAAAGACTCTGCTTTTTTTGCCACAGCTGACCTGGCCTGCACCATTTGCCCCAAGCACGGAAAGTTTCCCCTATAAGCATTCTCCTAAGTCCTTGGACCCCTGCACCCACTTGGGAAGACCCGGAGGAAGCTCCTGGCTTCGGATTGGTGCAGCTCCAGTCATTGTGGCTAATTGGGAAGTGAACTTGTGGATGGAAGACCTCTCTCGCTTCTGCCTCTCCTTCTCTCTCTGTGTAACTCTGACTTATAAATAAATAAAATAAATCTTTAAAAAAATTTTGGGCCGGCGCTGCGGCTCACTAGGCTAATCCTCCGCCTGTGGCACTGGCACCCTGGGTTCTAGTCCCAGTTGGGGCACCGGATTCTGTCCCAGTTGCTCCTCTTCCAGTCCAGCTCTCTGCTGTGGCCTGGGAGGGCAGCGGAGGATGGCCCAGGTCCTTGGGCCCTGCACCCACATGGGAGACTAGGAGGAAGCACCTGGCTCCTGGCTTCGGATCGGCGCAGCACGCCGGCCGCAGCAGGCAGTTGGGGGTGAACCAACAGAAAAAGGAAGACCTTTCTCTCTGTCTCTCTCTCTCACTAACTCTGCCTATCAAAAAAAAAAAAAAAATTATGGTCAGTGTTGTGGTGTAGTGGGTTAAGAACGCCAGTTGGAGCCCCAGCTGTACTACTTCTGATGCAGCAACTTGCTAATGTGCTTAGGAAAGCAATGGAAGATGGCCCAAGTTGTTGGGCTCTTGCTACCCAAGTAGGAGATCAGATGCAATTCTAGACTCCTGACTTCAGCCTGGCCCCGTTCCAGCTGTTGCAGCCATTTGGGGAGTGAACCATCGGATGGAAGATCTATCTATCTCTGTTTTTTCCTCTCTCTATCGTTCTGCCTTTCAAATAAGTAAAATAGATTTTTAAAACACTGTAAGATTGTTGCAAGATACAGTTACCACTATTTTAATTATAAAGTACATATCACATAAAGATAGACTAACCCCAATCTGTCATTCCATGGTCAGAGGTAAAGATAAATGTTGTTTTCCCATCATTTCCATAAAAATGTTTGAACATGGACACAATTTCCTTTACTCCATCATCAACTTTTTTAATATTGTCCTTATAGTCCCTGTATATAAAGAAACAGAAGAACAAATCAAATTAATTTAGAGAAGTCAAATTTATTCAATATGGGCTTATTACAAAGTTAGGAACCCCTGAAGTACTTTTAGATTTCATCTTTAATTTTGTTTTAAAGATTTATTTTTATTTACTTGAGAGACAGAGTTACAGAGAAAGGTAGAGACAGAGAGAAGTCTTCCATCTGCTGGTTCATTCCCCAGATGGGCTGCAATGTCTGGAGCTATGCAGATCCAAAGCCAGGGGCCAGGAGCTTCTTCTGGATCTTCCATTTGGGTGCAGGGGCCCAAGGACTTGGGCCACCTTCTACTGCTTTCCCAGGCCATAGCAGAGAGCTGGATTGCAAGAGGAGCAACCGGGACTAGAACCAGTGCCATATGGGATGCTGGTGCTTCAGGCCAGGGCTTTAACCCACTATGCCATAGCACCGTCCCTTTATCTTTAATATTTTAAGATCAGAGTTCTTTAGACTGTTGAAATATTTTTTTTCCTTTTAATGAATAAAAAGAACCTAAAATAATTTTCAAAGATGGTTTTAAAGGAGGGTACTGATTAGTAAAAATATTTAAGTGAACTCATTTTTTAAGTCCCAAGTGATAGAATGATGACTTTCAAATTTTCATATTTCATAATGTAAACTATGTTGTTTATATAAATCACATGACCAGCGAGCAATATGGCACAACAGGCTAAACCACTGCCTGTGATGCTGTCATCAAATATGAACGCCAGTTCAAGTTCTGGCTGCTCCACTTCTAATTCAGTTCCCTGCCAATGCATCTGGAAAAGCAGCAGAAGATAGCCCAAGTACGTGGGTCCCTGCCACTCAAGGGGGAGACACAGATGGAGTTCCAGGCTCTTGGCTTCAGCCTGGCTTAGCCCCAGCCATTATGGCCATTTGGGGAGTGAACCAGCTGACAGAAAACTTATCACTCTCTCTCTCTCTGTTTCTTCCTTTCATTCTGCTTTTTAAATAAATAAAAATAAATCTTTATGAAGAACATATAAATCATTGTTTCAAGTGTAACATTTTTATCTCATAAAATGTTTGTGATACAAAATATCATGTTTTAAAAACTTAGATAGATTTAAGCTTTCCATACAACTGCACAAGGTTGGTTTCATATAAATGTTCATTCCATCAATTAAAATAGTACATCCTATTAAAGAATGGGACATAAAGTATTCATCATTGGCAGCCATCTCAAGACTCCACAGTTATAGTTAGGCTAATCTGAACTAAAATCAAAATAAAGAATAAAAGGGTGAAAAATATTTTCTCTACAAAAGTGAGAAAACTATTTGCTGTTATCTACAAGGTATCCTATGAAATAGAGTATATAAAACTTAATGCAATTACTTCTAAATACTGATTAAATGAAACATAAGGAATGGCTAATTACATCTTTTTTGTGATATAAAAACTAATGCTGAAATCAGCATATGACACAGCTGTTAATATGAAACTTAGAATGCCTTCATGCTGTATCAGACTGCCTGGGTTTGAGTATCATCTCCACTTCCAATTCTAGCTGCCTGCTAATGAGCACCATGGGAGGCAGTAAGTGAAGGTTCAAGTACTTCTGTCCTGCCACCACACAGGAGACCTGGACTGAGTTCCAGGCTCCTAGTTTCAGCCCAGTCCAACTCTGGCTATTGTAGGCACTTGGGGAATGAACCAAAAGATGAAAGATTTCTCTCTCTCTCTGACTCCATTTTTGTTTCTCTCTGTGTGAGTCTCTTTCAAATAATAATAATAAAACATTTAATGTAAAAAACAAACATTAGTTATTTGTTGTTAAAAGTACAACAAAAACATCAGAATACTTTAAACAGAATAGCTGCTTCTCTCACAACACTCAGTCTGAGCACAGCAATAAAATCACCTTGATGACGGCCGATGGGCATGTCCATTTGTATCTATTCCTAATAAATGCAGGAAAAAAACTATTTTTTCTTCATTTATTTTTGAAAACAAAGACTGATTGTTTCTGGCGGTATCAAAGAAGTCCTATATATAACAAATCATATAAAAATTGTTAGCTCATTTATTTTATTTAAAAAACAGTACTGATAAAAACATTTAAATTTATACATAGCTAAATATTAAACTATCTTATGCTGTTTAAATTTATACTTAAGACCTACCAACACGAAGATTTTGCTATAAGATCAGATATTTATGTTCAATTATGTGTGAGCTATTTAGAGGGTTACAATTAGGACATAAAAGGTTATCAAAAGGGGAAGGGGATCAAGATTTTATAAAAATCTCGTAACACTGACATGCCATATCTAACTTACTACAATACAGCACACTGAAGATCTTGGCAAGAGACACAAACAAAACTTTATTAGTGGTAACAGTTTAAAAGTGATTTATTATTTTTAAACATATTCAGAGATAGACAATTTTTCATTGTCGCATTTGCTACCGCCCTAGCCCAACCAGAACCTTCCACTTAGAACATTACAAAAGGCCTACTACCTTTGCCCCAAGTAGAATCTGTTTTTTACATCATGTGATAGGAAAATACTCATAGAATAAAAAGATTTACAAAATCATTAATTTCATAATAAACTGGGTTCACAAAGTCCTTCTAAATTAAATGACTCACCCTGTACTCACATATACTTGAATATGTATGTATTCAAATATCTACAGAGAACATTTTTAACTTATTTTAATTAAGTCAGTAGGCTTAATTAAAGACATATCTTTGCTATATAAATGCTTCTATCTGTAGAATATGTCAATTATGGTTAATTCAAATTTATTTTAATTCTATCTGTAGAATATGTCAATTATTTTTAAAGATTTATTTTATTTGAAAGTCAGAAGAAGAGAGAGAGAGGTCTTCCATTGGTTCACTCCCCAAATGGCCACAACAACCAGGATTGGGCCAGGCTGAAGCCAGCAGCCAGGAGCTTCATCTGGGTTTCTCATGTGGGTGGCAGGGGCCCAAGGGCTTGGGCCATCTTTGGTTGCTTTATCAGACATTTTAGCAGGGAGCTGAATTGGAAGTAGAGCTGGCAGGACTCAAACCTGTGCTCATTTGGAATGTCAGAATCGCAAGTGGCTTAACTTGCTATACCACAGTGCTGGCCTCAGAATATGTCAACTTTTTAAAAGATGTGTTAATTCAAAATGGCCTAAAGAATTTCAAGTAATTCTTCATTGTCCTGAATGTTAAATGATAAATAATGGTATTAGAGAAACTACTAATCAAAAATAAATTTTTTTTTTTTTTTTTTTTTGACAGGCAGAGTGGACAGTGAGAGAGAGAGACAGAGAGAAAGGTCTTCCTTTGCCGTTGGTTCACCCTCCAATGGCCGCCGCTGCAGCCGGCGCACCGCGCTGATCCGATGGCAGGAGCCAGGAGCCAGGTGCTTCTCCTGGTCTCCCATGGGGTGCAGGGCCCAAGCACCTGGGCCATCCTCCACTGCACTCCCTGGCCATAGCAGAGAGCTGGCCTGGAAGAGGGGCAACCGGGACAGAATCCGGCGCCCCAACCGGGACTAGAACCCGGTGTGCCGGCGCCGCAAGGTGGAGGATTAGCCTATTGAGCCACGGCGCCGGCTAAATTTTTAATATATATACCCTGTTACTGTTCTCCTAAAACTTCCCCCTATTGTTCATTCATATATATGTTCCACTTAGTCCCTAAGAACTTTTAAACCTGGAAGGACATTATGGAATCACTTATAAGTATCCTAGTCTACAACAATTAACAATTTGACATCGCCTTCACTGAGGTAGAAGTACTTTTTTTTAATCTTTATTTACTTATTTATTTGAAAAGGCAGAGTTGCAGAGAAAAGAGGAGAGAGAAAGATCTTCTACTTGCTGGTTCCCAAATGGCCAAAAGAGCCAGGTTTGGGCAAGGCCAAAATCAGTAGCCCGGAATTACATCTGGGTCTACCAAATGGGTGGCAGGGACCCAAGCTGTTAAAGCAGGTGCATTAACAAAAAGCTGGAGCAGAAGTGGAGCAGCCAGGACCAGAATAATTCTTGTAACCCACTGTACCACAATGTGAGGTAGTGTACTTCTGATTGATACACTTTTAAGAAATTTTTTTCTCTTACCAACTGAACCTAATTTAAGTTTGCTATTGACAGGGTGAAAAAATCATTATCTCTAGATAAATTTTTGGCAGCTGACTAGTAGAAGCAGGAACATATATTTAAACCTAACATACATTTACTAAAAAGTCAAGTTTTTGGTAATTTCGGTAAACTGTAGGAGTTTTGCATATTCACTACTCAAAAGAATGTACCTTAACATTATCAAAAACCCAGGTATCCAGTTTTGTTGCATCATTGGCACCGAAATCCTCTGTTTTAGCATCATAGCTATATGTATAAACATGATCTCCACTAGCACCTGTAAGAGAAATTTGAAAAATAAAATAAAACTTTTTAATGATCATAATATATAAGACAGTAACCTAAAGACTGCTGTGAGTAGAATTTTTCACAGAGCTCTCTGTGTTATGATGGGGAAGAGAAAGTTAGGGAAATAATTAGCATTTATTTATTTTATGTGTCATAGACCATGCTATATATTTTAACATATTCAATTGCTTTTTGTCCTCACAAAAACATATCCCAATTTTACACATATAACATGTAAGTTAATTAACTTGCAAGTTAATTCCTATAAGCAATTAAGCAAATTCAGCACCAATATTTTGTTCCTTTCAAGGATTAAGGTTAAGTGGGTCTCTAAGAATGTCAAAATCTAAAACAGATGAAGATATGTGGTGTATACACCTTCCTGAGCAAGAAGGAAATTCAAATATTTCACTTCTTTTAGTCATACATTATGTGTATTTTTCTCAACAGAGGGGAATAAATATTGCTTATTGTCAAATAGCTTGAAGAGGTCAACAGAATAATCTTACCCATTTGCAAGATTTTATTAGGAATCTAATTAATTCAGTGTATTTCTGGGTTAGATAGGCCCTTCAGGTCATAAGGAAGAGATGATGAAATAATGACAATCTCAGTTCAGCTCTAATGATCCTACCCCACTGCTCAGCCATCCTCCTCCCCACATCCCAGGTAAAAAGGTCTGAATGAGTTTGCTGATTACCATATAAAATGGAACATTCCTACTGGACTGTGTCAAATAAAGGCACTGGTCTTGTCTTACCAAGTAGAGCCTAAAGTAGGAGGTAAATTTAGTAATCCATAGCCACTTAACCCACCCTCACTGCCACCACCAAAGCCACTACCATAGCCCTCCGACCAAAAGCTAAATTACTTTCCAAAGAAGGAAATATATAAAAGGCAAGCAATTTGAGATTTTTATCTGCTCAGTAAAATAATGCTCCATGAATATATATAAAATTCTGATTATTAATTTTTCTTTCTAAATACATAATAATCTTTAATTATTCCAATTATTATACCTTTACTCATGGCTAAGTATAATGTTAAAAACACTTACCACTAAGTGAAATGATAACCTGCTCCCAATAAAAAGTGCTTAATAACATGAAATTTATCCAACTGATTTTAGAAAATATAGATGAATTTTCTAATTAAGAAAAGTCTTTCAATTGCAAATTCAGACACATAAACAAACATAACAAATTCAAATGCAAAACTAATGTTTTGGGGGCAGCACCAAGCATAGCAGGTAAAGTCGCCGCCTGCAGTGCTGGCATCCCATATGGGCACTGATTGGAGACCTGGCTATTCCACTTCCAAACCAGCTCTCTGCTATGGCCTGCAAAAGCAGTAGAAGATGGCCCAGGTCGTTGGGCCCCTTGTGGGAGACCTGGAAGAAGCTCCTAGCTCCTAGCTTCGGATCGGCACAGCTCCGGCCATTGCGGCCAATTGGGGAGAGAACCAGTGGATGGAAGACTTCTCTCTCTCTCTGCCTCTCTTTCTCTCTGTGTGTAACTCTACTTTTATATAAATAATAAATCTTTCAAAAATATAAAATAAAAACATTAATAAATTTTGATATGTTAAATGCTATATATCAGTGCCAAAATATACGGCATAGTTATTATGCTAAAATAGGAATTACAAATTTTTGCATTTAGGGGTGGGTGTTTAGCCTAGCAGTTAAAATGCCTACATCCCATATATCAGAATGCCTGGGTTCAACACTCAACTCCAACTTCTGACTACAGCTTCCTGCTAATGCAGATCCCAGGAGGCAATGATGAGGCTCTAGTAACTAGGTTCCTCCCATCCAAATGGGAGACCTGGACTGAATTCCCAGCTACCAACTTCAGTCCAGCCTAGTCCCAGTCACTGTGGGCATTCAGAAAGTGAACCAACAGAGTGAAGAAGGAAAACACATTGCCAGTTAAACTGATGTGTCAATATATTGTAATTTACACCTCTATTTCAGAGCTGCTCTAAAGATGAAAATATGAATCTGAAAATCTGTACAGTAAATATAAAAGTAATATAAAAAAATACTACCAGACTGATTTATTATCTATTTTCTACCTGAGGGAATATAATCAATTACCCTTACCTTTGGCAAACATAGGCAAGATATCTGGGCTTCCCCAGCTCCATGTATACTTGCTTTCATTAAAAAGGGAATCAAATTCTACAGGATTTTCTTTCCAACCTTTAGGTAGTTAAGAGAAAAAGCAAGCAATATTAAAAATATGTATATTTGCTTAAATCAGCCACTCCCAAAATTACTGTCCGAATAATATTAGTTGGAGAAAAACACAAAATAATAGTTTGTTATGTATATTATACCGCTATTTCACAAAAACAGTAATAATATACTTATTACTAAAATACAAAATCACTTTTGAACTTTTAAGAGGTCTAGGAAAACTGTGGATTCATCCAAATGTGCTCCTTTGATAGCAAAGGATGATGAAAGACTAAAGCTTAACTCTAAATTGATACCAGGGTATATCAATTAAATTTTAGTTTGTATAAAATACAGTAAAATACTTGTCAACATATCTCAAAACATAATTTCCACTCTATGACATGATTTAGTGGTGAAGAATCAATATTTGTATGACAAATTTTCATTTAACAAAATATCTAAATAGACAATACCTTTGGCAACGGCACTGACGTCCTCATAAAATCCAGCTATGAGGGCAACGTGACCTGGACGTGATTCTGTTGGCACACGTGTATGAGAAATTCCCCAGCTGCCTTCGTACATTATGATATTCCTAAAAGATAATACACACAAGTAAACAACATAAACTATGACTGCATAAACTCAGAAGGCTTCAGAAAAATACAACTATTACAGAAGGAATCAAAATCCAAAGTCAAAATTTAAGAAATAAAAGAATCTTTAAAATTCCAGCTGACCTCATTCCTAGTCCTCTCACCAACTGAATGCAGTGGCTGGTGTGAGCACAGCAAGACCAACAAAGAATCACCCAACCACTGTATGTGAGTCTGAAACAAAATATACCTTTGTGGGGTCAACATTGTGGCATAGTAGGGAAAGCCCCCACTCAAGATGCCAGCATCCCATAAGGGTGCCGGTTTGTGTCCTGGCTGCTCCACTTCTGATCCAGCTCCCTTGAGAATAGCAGTGGGGGATGGCCCCCCTGCACCCACATGGGAGTCCTGGAAGAAGCTCTTGGCTCCTAGCTTTGGCCTGGCCCAGCTCAGGCCACTGCAGCCATATGGGGAGTGAACCAGCAGATGGGACATGTCTGTCTCTCCTTCTCTATGTAACTATGACTTTCAAACAAATAAATACAAATATTTTTTAAAAAAACCACTTTGTTGTCTTTTTTAAAAAAGATTTATTTTTATTTATTTGAAAGAGTTACAGAGAGAGAGAGAGGGAGAGGGAGAGAGAGAGATCTTCTATCTGCTGGTTCGCTCCCTAGATGGCTGCAACAGCCGGAGCTGTGCCGGTCTGAGCCAGGAGCCAGGAGCTTCTTCCAGGTCTCCCACATGGGTGCAGGGGCCCAAGGTCTTGGGCCACCTTCTATTGCTATCCTGGACCACAGCAGAGAGCTGGATCAGAAGAGGAGCAGCCGGGACTAGAACTGGCGCCCATATGGGATGCTGGCACTTCAGGCCAGGGCGTTAACCTGTTGCGCCACAGCGCCAGCCCCAGCACTTTGTTGTCTTAAGCCATAAAACACTGGGATGGCATTTTACATAGTGACAACTGATAAACACAATATTAAGATGACATTCTTAAATTTAATTACATGTGACAGTGGTACTGTGGTTATGCATGAGAAAATCTGTTTTTAAAAGACATGTGTTGTAGTATTTAAGGGTGAAGTGTCACAATGTCTTGCTTTCAAATTTTTCAGGAAAAAATAATTAAAACTAGGAGTACACATGTGTACAACTGTGTGTTGGGAGAATGTGAAAATTGATAACATTAAACTGTTAAACTAGGTTAAGGTTATACAGTTTATCATGTAATTCCTTCAACTTTCGTGTAGTTGAAATATTCTTAAAATAAAAACATTAAGGGGGGGAAGACTGCTCTTAAAAAAGTCAAACTATGTTCCTATATTTGAGATTGAAGCAGACGAAAAGTTTCTTTTGCTTAAATGTACCAACCACTTAAGTTATATCACAGTGTTTTGCAAAATTTGGGACAGAAAGCAAAATTACCAGCAATGCTATGGGTGAAAGGCCTACAAAGCAAGTAATAAAACATGGAAAACATCAATAACATTTTCTCAAGATAAATGCTTGATTCTCAACACATTCTGAAGAAAAAAAAATGTGAGTACAGTGAACGTTTTCAATGTTTATTTATTTGCAAGGCAGAAAGAACGAAAGAGAGACAGACAGAGATCTTCCATTTGATGGCTCACTCCAGAAATGCCCACAATGGTCGAGTGGTGGGCTAGACTGAAGCAAGCAACCAGGAACTCAATGCATGTTTCCCACATTGGTGGCAGGAAGCCAGCTACTTGAGCCATTACCTGCTGCCTCCCAGAGTTTGTATTAGGAGGAAGCTGGAACTGACATTGAAGCCAGGATCTGAACCCAGGCACCCCAAGCAACAACTTAATCTTTGTGCCAAATGTCTAACCCCCAGGTTAAGTTCTTTGAACTCACCCCCAAATGAAACCAAATTTGATAAAATACATACATAATGGTAAATAGTTGAAAAATCATGGGACTAGATATTAAGGGAGAAATTTTCTTTTTAAAATAATTGTTTTTATATTACATAAAGATTGTATACTAATTTAACAATTAACATTCTTATGTATGATGTCAGTGTTCACCCGAGGCTCTTGCCATGAGCTGCCTAGACCATAGAAGCCTTTTGAATCCACAAACTCCATCAGTATTTAGACAAAGCCATAAACAAAGTGGAAGTTCTCTCCTCCCTTCAGAGAAAAGCACATCCTTCTTTGGTGGTCACTTCTTTCCACTAGGGTCTCACCCACAGAGGTCCTTCATGTCAGACATTTTTTGCCACAGTGTGCTGGCTTTCCATGCCTGAAATAGTCTTGTGGGCTTATTCTGAGGCAGAGTGCTACTTAAAGCAATTGTCATTCTGAGTCTGCTGTATGGACTGCTTCCCATGTTGGAGCACTTACTCCTTTTTAATTCCATCTATTATTATTACCAGACACTTATTAATATCTAAATGATCACTTTAATACTTAATCTTGGCCAGCGCCGCAGCTCAATAGGCTAATCCTCTGCCTGCGGCGCCGGCACACCAGGTTCTAGTCCTGGTCGGGCACCAGATTCTGTCCCAGTTGCCCCTCTTCCAGGCCAGCTCTCTGCTGTGGCCAGGGAGTGCAGTGGAGGATGGCCCAAGTGCTTGGGCCCTGCACCCCATGGGAGACCAGGAGAAGCACCTGGCTCCTGGCTTTGGATCAGCGCAGTGCACCGGCCGCAGCTGCCATTGGAGGGTGAACCAACGGTAAAGGAAGACCTTCCTCTCTGTCTCTCTCTCTCTCACTGTCCACTCTGCCTGTCCCAAAAAAAAACAAAAAACAAACAAACAAAAAAAAACCTTAATCTTACCCATAAGATCACATTAACACTTAAAATGCTAATTTTTACCAACAGCTTAAAGGGATTTGGGGTCCCATGGCAAGTTTTTTAAACTGTATCCTTAGAAGTAAGTCTGTAGGAATGTATGTAGAACCATATAGGTCTACAGTTATAAACTTCATACACTTCATAATTATAACTTCAGGAACATGGTGATTCTTCCCTTCATGCCCACCCTCCCAACCCTCTTCCTCCTCCTTATCTTATTCCCACTCATATTTTTTACTAAGATCTATTTTCTTTTTTAATAAAAAATTTATTTATTTATTTGAAAGTCAGAGTTGCACACAGAGAGAAGGAGAGGCACAGAGAGGGAGAGGTCTTCCATCCACTGGTTCACTCCCCAATAGGCCGCAATGGCTGGAGCTGAGCTGAGCCGGAGCCAGGAGCCAGGAGCCAGGAGCTTCCTTCGGGTCTCCCACACAGGTGCAGGGGCCCAAGGACTTGGGCCATCTTCTACTGCTTTCCCAGGCCATAGCAGAGAGCTAGATCAGAAGTGGAGTAGCTGGGTCTCCAACTGGCACCCATATGGGATGCCAGCACTGCAGGTGGCAGCTTTATCCTTAATGCCACAGCACCAGCCCCTGGATCTATTTTCAATTAACTTTATACACATATGATTAACTCTATATTAAGTAAAGACTTATAATATTAAAAAAAAAAAACCATTCCTCAACAGTCAAAACAAGGGCTGTTCAAGTCACTGCTACTCAAAGTATCAATTTCACTTTTACAGACTGCCTTTTAGGTGCTCTATTAGTTATCACAGCTCAGGGAGAACATACGGTATTTGTCCCCTTGTGACTGGCTTATTTCACTCAGTATGATGCTTTCCAGATACATCCATTTTATTGCAAATGATTGGATTTCACTTTTTTTTTTAATGTTGTGTAGTATTCCAGTGTGTGCATATTACATAATTTCTTTATCCAGTCTTCAGTTGACAGGCATTTGGGTTAATTCCATATGTTAGCTATTGTGAATTAAGCTACAATAAACATAGGAGTGCAGATAACTCTTTCATATGCTGATTTCATTTCCCTTGGGTAAATTACCAGCAGTGGGATGGCTGGGTCATATGGTAGGTCTATATTCAGATTTCTGAGGTATCTCCATACTGTCTTCCATAGTGGTTTTATCAGTTTACATTCTGGCCAACAGTGGATTAGGATATTCTCCCACATCCTCATCAACACTTGTTGTTTGTTGATATCTGTATGAAAACCATTCTAATGGGGGTGAAGTGAAACCTCACTGTGGTTTTGATTTGCATTTCCCTGACAGCTAGTGATCCTCAGCATTTTTTCATGGTGTGTTGGCCATTTGGATTTCCTCTTTTGAGAAATGTCTGTTTAGTCTTATGCCCATTTCTTAACTGGGTTGTTAGTTTTCTTGTTGTTGAGTTTCTTAATCTCTTTATATATTCTGGTTATTAATCCTTTATCAGTTGTATAGTTTGCAAATAATTTCTTCCATTCTGTCAGTTGCCTCTTCACCTTGCTGAGTGTTTCTTTTGCAGTACAGAAGCTTCTCAATTTGATGTAACCTCCTTGTTAATTTTGGCTTTGATTGTGCTTCTGGAGTCTTTTTCAAGAACTCTGCCTATGCCAATGTTTTGCAGGGTTTCCCTAGTGTTCTCTAACAACTTGATAGAATTGGGTTGTAGATTTAGGTCTTCAATACATTTTGGTGGATTTTTGTATATGATATAAGTGCCCATATGGGATGCCTGCGCTTTAGGCCTGGGAGTTAACGCACTGTGCCACAGTACCAGCCCCTCTGTCTAACTCTTTCAAATAAATAAATCAATCTTAAAAAAAAAAAAAGGGACATATAGCCAATGTTCTAGCACACTGGTTTGAGTCCTGAATGCTCTGCCATTGTGGCCATCTGGGGAGCCAAACAGTAGATGGAAGATCTTTTTCTCTCTACTTTCTCTTTCTCAAATAAATAAATCTTTAAAAAGGAAAAAAAAACCTAAAGGAGAAACAAGTGCTACTCAAAAAGTTAGACTTTTCCTTTACAACCAGTACATTTTTATTCTATCAATTCTGAAAGGAATTAATTCTTTTCCTTTGGCACCAAGAAATTCAAACAAATATGTCACCCAAACATTTTAATTATTTGTAGGAATTTATCTTATACATTTTTGCACTCTATAGTGGTTTGATCTTACTAGTATTTCCCTGTTGATTCATATTGTTCATTTGTTAATTTTCGTCCTTTAACACAAGCATATATGTATTTCTTTAAGCTACTATTAATTTATGTCTGGAAATTCGACACAGCATTCAAGTTCATTCATTCTTCTAGCACTCAGCAAATATATATTAACTGCTGACTATTTGTTTTAGGAACTGGATATAAAGTAGTAGTTCAGTCCCAGACTTCCTGGAATTTGCCCAATAAGTAATATAAAGAAAAACAAAGAGCCCAGGATTGAGACACAGCAGGTAAAGCTGCCACCTGCAATGCTGGCAAACCATATGGGTGCTGCTGGTTTGTGTCCCAGGTATTCCACTTCCAATCCAGTTCCCTGCTGATGGCCCAGGAAAAGCAGAAGATGGCCTCTGTATTTGGGCCCCTGCAACCCACATGGAGGTTTGGAAGAAGCCCCTGCTTCTTGGCTTTGGCCTGGCACAGCACCAGCCAATATAGCCATATAGGGAGTGGCCAGCAGATGGAAGATTTCTCTCTCTCTACCTCTCTGCAATTCTGAATTTCAAATTAATAAATAAATCTTATTTTAAAAACAAAGAATAAAAAAAAGAATAGCAAAACAAATAGAGTAAAGGGATAGAAGGTAACGATAGCAGGTAGGGATGATGAAGTTAGGATATTTTAAATAAATTTCCTCTGTAATCTGATTTTAATTTCCCCATAACAGCATTAAGAAGGGCTTTTGAGAGACTTGTCAAAAACCAGAAAAGAACAATTGTTAATAGGAGCCTCAAAAGTCAAAAAATTAAATATTTCTTTTCAAAAGTCAGTTAACAGAAACCACAGTTAAATTAAATTGGGGGCTAGTTGTGTGGCACAGCAGGTTAAAGCCCTGGCCTGAGGTGTCGACATCCCATTTGGGCGCCAGTTCTAGTCCCGCCTGCTCCTCTTCCAATCCAGCTCTCTGCTACGGCCTGGGAAAGCAATAGAAGATGGCCTAAGTGCTTGGGCCCCTGCACCCACGTGGGAGACCTGGAAGATGCTCCTGGCTCCTGGCTTCGGATCGGCATAGCTCCAGCCATTGCAGACATTTGGGGAGTGAACCAACAGAAGGAAGACCTTTCTCTCTGTCTCTCCCTCTTACTGTCTTTAATTCTACCTCTCAAATAAATAAAAAAAAAATTAAATTGTGATGTAAACTTAGCAAGGCTTTCTACTTTTATAGAAGGCTGTATTTTGAGTTTTATATTGTGTAAACATAATAATTCATTAATTCATCCTTGTCATTATTTTAACAGTTAGCAGGCTTACTTTTTATTTTTTTAATTTATTTGAAGGCAGAGTTACAGAAAGAGAGAGAGGGAGAGACAGAGGTCTTCCATCCATTAGTTCATTCCCCAAATGGCCGCAGTGGCCAGGACTGGGCCAGGCTGAAGCTAGGAACCTGGAGCTTCTTTCAGGTCTCCCACATGGGTGCAGGGGCCTAAGAACTTGGGCCATCTTCTGCTTTCTCAGATGCATTAGCAGGGAGCTGGATGGGAAGCAACATCCATATGGGATGCTGCTGTCCCAGACAGAGGCTTAACCTGCTATACCACAACACCACCCCCTATAAGCTTATTTTTCAAGAAAAAGATAATAAAGTGAAGTATGAGCCAGGATTGGGAAATTAGACAAGTTAGCCAAAGCATTTAAGGCTGTATGTTTGGATTTGTGTCATATCAGCTTATACAACAGTAGAAATAATACCTAGAAGGAAATGAATTGGCATTCAAGTACTAATCTTGAAGACAGAGGCAAATGTACAAGTGTTCTATTCTTGTTCTTATCATCACTCCTGTGCGCAATATGAGATAAAGAATGATATGTTGCTATTTATTTGATCTCAGGATAACATTTCTATGAGATGTCTCTGTATCATCTGACACACTTACCTTAAAAATGGTGCTCTGGAATTTCCGTTTTCATCTAACTCATAAAGCGCATCTGCTCGTAGGCCATCAGCAACAAATAGCACTAATCTTTTTGCTGGAGGAGGCAATGGTGTAAACTGAGGAGTCATTCCATGAACCAAAGGAGATGTAAAATAAATGTCAAAGATAGAGACGAAGAACACAAAATGTACAAATAATCCCAAAGTAAAGAACAGCAGCATATTCATTGTGACTAATTAATCTACAAAAAGAAAAAAAGAAAGAGGGAATAAAATTAAACTGGAGTAAGACTTAATGTAATCCTATGTATTTCACATATTTTGATGACTACATGTAGACTGGACATACATTTTAAAATATAACTGATAACTTCATTTTCATTTATTGTGGTGACAGTAAATACTTCTAATAGAGATAATACTGAAATAAAATACATCATAAACTATATGGAAGCAAAAAGAGAAAGTTCAAGTATAATAAGTAATAAGGAGGGGGTCTGCAGTGGGGTGTAGTAGGCTAAGCCTCTGCCTGCAGCACCGGCATCCTGTATGGATACCAGTTTGTGTCCTGGCTGCTCTACTTATAGCCTGAGAAAGCAGCAGAAGATAGCCCAAGGCTTGGGCCCCCGCACTAATGTGGGAAAGTAGCAGGAAGGTCTGGCTCCTGGCTACGGATTGGCCTGGCTCCAGACATTGAGGCCACTTAGGGAGTGAACCAGTGGATGGAAGACTTTTCTGTCTCTCCCTCTCTCTATCTGTAACTCTACCTCTCAAATAAATAAATAAAATCTTAAAAAATACATAATTAGGACCAGTAAATTACTTGCGATAAATCTAAGTGCAAACTAAACTCATAAACAAAGAGTTAAATCAATCCTAATGTGAGTTAGGGTTTAATCAAAACAAATTCTACATAAAATAGAAAATATCACTCATCCTACTCTAGGTTATCCAGCATTTTAGTTCCCTCAATCAATTTTTTTCCCTGAATCAATTTTTGATTATATTTCTTCATTCAATAAAAATATTCTATGCACATAGCATGTATATGGTAGTGTGCTGGGTTACTACAGAGAACACCAAGAAGACATTGTCACAGATCTGATGAGTTTCCAAACATTTAAGGAAGGAAAAATAAGCAAAGGAAAATATGTAAATAATATTGCAAGACAGTATGCCACTAAACTGCCAAGATCAAATACTCCACAGGATGATTTTTCAAATCAGGCTATAATTTCCTTTGGTTAGTGAATCTCTCTGCAGATTAAAGAGGAGAAAAGTACTCACTCTGAGTAAGTGTTTCCTTCTCTTGAATCCCTGAGTTCCAATTACATAGCAAGCACCATCCTAATGATGTCTGTCCAAATATTAAAATAAAATCAATCACTAGTTTATAACTTGCTCTGGTGGTCTTTCACCTGTACTAGCATTGCTGGTGCTTTTGCTTCTTCCCCAAAATTTTTCAAATCACTGTGATAAAACTTAAATAATGTTGATACATTTTAGCAAAAAAATATTTTGACTGCTTTAATCTCAAAATTAAGAAAATAACTTTTTTTAAGATGTATTTATTTGAAAGGCAGAGCTATAGAGCGAGAGGGAGAGGGAGAGGCAGACAGAGAGGCAGAGGGCGAGGGAGATTGAGATTTTCCATGCCCTGGTTCACCGCCCAAATTGCTGCAACAGCAGGCCTGGGCTAGGCTGAAGCCAGGAGCCAGGAGCTTCTAGGTCTCCCATGTGGGGGCAGGGGCCCAAGCACTTAGGCCATCTTCTGCTGCTTTCCCAGGCACATTAGCAGGGAGGTGCATCAGAAATGAAGCAGTCAAGGGATGGCACTATGGCATAGTAGGTATAGCTACCACCTGCAGGGCTGGCATCCCATGTGGGTGCTGGTTGAAGTCCAGGCTGCTCCTTTTCCAATTCACCTCTCTGCTAAGGCCTAGGAAAGCAGTAGAAGATGGCCCAAGTCCTTGGGCCCCTGCACCTCTGTGGGAGACCCGGAAGAGGCTCCTGACTCCTAGCTCTGGATTGGCACAGCTCTGGCCATTTCAGCCAATTGGGGAGTGAATCTCTCTCTCTCTCTCTCTCTCTCTCTCTCTCTCTCTTCTCTCTCTGCTGCTCTGCGACTCTGCTTTTCAAATAAATAAAGCTTAAAGGGGGGGGGCCCATAAAATTAAAAAAGAAAAGAAATGGAGCAGCCAGGACTTGAACAGTTGCCTGAAAGGCATGTTAGCATCACAGGCATGGCTTAACTCGCTATGCCACAATGCCAAAGCTAGCCCCAAGAACATAATTTAATTCCAATTTAGGAGTGCAGCTATTTACGCTCCCCTTAATTTTTTTTTATTTTAAGAATTTTTAAGCTGCATAAAGTTGAAAGAACTACATGATGAACATCTGTATATCCTTCCCATATTCACTGTGGGAAGTTCATACAACAAAATATTACCTATGGTTCTACCACGTGGAAGAAAATCCCCTTAAATGGTTCCTTACAATTTTTATCCTATCTACCTTAAACCCAGATCTCCCACATGAATGGCAAGGATCTAACTACTTGAGCCATCACCTGCTGGTTCCCAGGGTGCATTTTATCAGAAAGTTGGAATTGGGAGCAGAGCTGGGACTGGAATCCAGACATTCTGATGTAGGGTGCAGGCATTCCAATCAGCATCATAATGGCTAGGCCAAAAGCTGCCCACATCTACATCTTTATAGAGACTCACAATTTTATCTATTCACTTTTTTTTTTTCATTTAACATACATTAGCAGTTCTCTTAAGAAAAACAGGATCCAGCACTATGGGCTTAGTAAATTAAGCCTCCACCTGCACTGCTGGCATCCCATATGGACACCAGTTGAAGTCCTGGCTGCTCCACTTCTCATCCACCTCCTTGCTAATGATCTGGAAAAGCAGAAGATGGCCCAAGGGCTTGGGTCCCCGCACCCACATGGGAGACCCAGAAGAAGCCTCTGGCTCCTGGCTTCAGATGGACCAGCTCCAGTCTTTGCAGCCATTTCGGGATTGAACCAGTAGATGGAAGACCTCTCGGGCTCTCCCTCTCTCTGTTGGCAATTCTGCCTCTCAAATAAACACATTTTAAAAGGAAAAAAAAAAAAAAAAAAACCTCTTCCTACACATCATTTAATACCATCATCCTTTATTCTATAGGTGCTTAATTTTCCTAATCATTCTCATATTGGTAGGCACTGAAATGTTTTCAAAAATTAAAAGTTTCAATATGATTCATTTAAATTCACACATAATTTTTAATTTGCTAACTTTTTAGTTCTTTCATATTATGTGTTGAAGATACTACCTGCAGGTGTAAGTGCTGAGTTCGACATACTGAAAATGGAAACAACTTTTTCAGTTGGATATTGATTCTCCTAAGGATAAATTAATTAAGTAACTCACCAATATATATTTCTCTTCTTTGCTTATCTAACAAAGCTTCTTAAGGAAAAATCTATTACTTCAAATAGACACAGAATAATAATAAAATAATAATAATATAAAAATAATATAAAAGTAGGCATTGAGTAAAATAACATTCTACATGCCAAGATTTTAAACTTAGAAATTATTTTAGTGTTTTTATTCACTAAGATAAACAATTCAGTGAATATTAAATACTAAATTATCCAACATGCTTGCTAAGTAATTTTCAATATATTGGGGTTATTTCCTTAAATATAATTCTTAATGTAAAATTAAATGTTCAGGGCTGGCGCCGTGGCTCACTAGGCTAATCCTCCGCCTAGCGGCGCCGGCACACCAGGTTCTAGTCCCGGTCGGGGCGCCGGATTCTGTCCTGGTTGCCCCTCTTCCAGGCCAGCTCTCTGCTGTGGCCAGGGAGTGCAGTGGAGGATGGCCCAGGTGCTTGGGCCCTGCACCCCATGGGAGACCAGGAAAAGCACCTGGCTCCTGGCTCCTGCCATCGGATCAGCGCGGTGCGCCGGCCGCAGTGCGCTGGCCGCGGCGGCCATTGGAGGGTGAACCAACGGCAAAGGAAGACCTTTCTCTCTGTCTCTCTCTCTCTCACTGTCCACTCTGCCTGTCAAAAAAAATAATAAAAAATTAAAAATTAAAAAATTAAATGTTCAGATTGTGTAGATTCTTTAGAATCTTTGAGTTAATTGAAAGTCCTACTAAAAATGTATGAGTAACTGTTGTCCCAAATCTCAAAGTTCTGAAAATTAACATTAATATTTTCAGTGCTTCAGTCATATTGGGGTATTTTAAATTTATTTTGATTTGCCTGCCAGCTACTAAGAATATGTACTCATTTCCATTCTATAGTTCTCCATGACTTGCTATTTTGTCTTAATACAGTGGAGGCCCTTTGGACAAGATATCCCTACTGTTTCAGAGACTACATATAGGCCCCAATGAAAAGGACTATTGCCCTTCCAATAATAAACCTCACCCAACTGTATCTTTCTGTTGAAGATACCCTTTATAACCTTTTCAAAGCTAATTCTTGCTTGGTGTTCAAGACCATGAAGAAGCCTGTATTAGTTGTCTGTGGCACATGACATTTTTTTTCCCCAATTTTGTTTCCAGAGCATTTGTGTTCAGTTGATTAGAGTTATCTCACAAAATATGATGATGAAGAAATGTGAAAGTATTTATATTCTAAATGTACTCTTCAGATTTATCATCATCTAAAAAGATCTATCTTTTCAGGAACAAATACATATGTCTTTAAAACCTGACTTTGCAGGGCCAGCGCTGTGGCGCAGCGGGTTAACACCCTGGCCTGAAGTGCCGGCATCCCTTATGGGTGCCAGTTTGAGTCCCGGCTGCTCCTCTTACAACCCAGCTCTCTGCTAGGGCCTAGGAAAGCAGTAGAAGATGGCCCAAGACCTTGGGCCTCTGCACCCACGTGGAAGACCTAGAAGAAGCTCCTGGCTCTTGACTTCAGATTGGCATTGGCGCAGCTCCAGCCATTGTGGCCATCTGGAGAGTTAACCAGCAGATGGAAGACATCTCTGTGTAACTCTGACTTTCAAATAAATAAATAAACCTTTATTAAAAAAAGACAAATAAAACCTCACCTTGCTCAGGACTGAGGGAGTTCCTGAGACAGGAGTCTTTCATGTTTTTTGTTTTAAAAAAAAAGTTAAAAATTCACATAACCTTTACCATTTTAAGTGTAAAGTTCACAATGTCAAGTATATTCACAGTGTTATATAATCAATATCCAGAACTTTTGCATCTTGTAAAACTCTACACTGATTAAACAACTCCCCATTTCCTTTTTAGCCCCTGATGATCAGTTTCTATTTTCTGTTTCCACGAGTTTGATTATTCTTGATATTGCATATAAGTGAAAACATACAACATTTGTACTTCTATAAATGGCTTATTTCACTTAGAATAACGTCCTAAAGGTTCATCTATGTAGTAGCATAGGAAGAATTTCCTGCTCACTATTGCATAACTTGTCTATTCAGAGAATAGGAAGTCACTAGATATTTTTTGATGAATTATTAAATAAATGGCAAAGCATTTTTGGCTAAGATGAATCTTGCTTCAATTCAATAACATTTATTGAAAACCTACTATTGCTAACATTAAATACAGAAAAATGAATAGACATGGTCTGTTTTCTTGATGTTTACAGAAAAGCACAAAAACAAACACAGGTCAGTATAATAGATTTTAGACACAGAAGGGCAACAAAGGACAAGGAAATAAATCCAACCAAGGAAAGGCTTTGAATAATAATTAACAGTTAACCAAAGCTTCAAAAATATGTGGAATATTAGATAATCAAAAGTTGCAAGCAAAATGTAATAACTCCTACCCCACTTTTCAATGTTTATAAGAAAGCCGTGATAATTTTTTCAGATCCTAAAAGTAACCTAACAATGTATGTTTCCCCGTTTTTTGTTTTTTGTTTTTTTTTTTTAATGGACATTAAATACAAACTAACTTTAGTTGCAACTGTTTTTCCTTTTGGGTGTAATGGCATTCTGTTAGACTACATTCCACTTAAACAAGTGTCAATTATTTTATGCCAATAATCGGGGCCGGCGCCATGGCTCACTTGGTTAACCCTCCACCTGCGGCGCCAGCATCCTATATGGGTGCCGGGTTCTAGTCCCGGTTGCTCCTCTTCCAGTCCAGCTGTCTGCTGAAAGAGAAAGGAAGACCTTTCTCTCTAACTCTACCTGTCAAATAAAAAAAGATTTTTTTTTTTAACAGGCAGAGTGGACAGTGAGAGAGAGACAGAGAGAAAGGTCTTCCTTTTTGCCATTGGTTCACCCCCCCAATGGCCACTACAGCTGGCACACCACGCTGATCCGAAGCCAGGAGCCAGGTGCTTCCTCCTGGTCTCCCATGGGGT